TTTGTTGTGGGAACCACCGAGCTTTTAAGTCCACAATTGAGTTTTTGAACTTGACTCTGCAGACAATTTTCTTCATCCCTATCGAAATAAATACTGTAAAACACATTGTTCCTCTTCCTAGTTAACTGAGTAAAATCAGACCTTTTCAGTGGCTGGTAAACTTGAGCCAGGACAAAGGAAAACATAGATTTGGAGCACAGACGATATGGAGACATAACATCCTAAGTTCAAAGCGCTTCCTGGCCAGTTTGGGAGCAGTCTGCTGAGCAGTTACTGTTCCCCGGTCCTGGGTGAGACTCCATGGGGCCACAGGAGCCCCTAGCCTTGACCCCTGCCTGCCCAGAGCCTAGACCTGCAGCGTTGGTCCCCCACAGCCCCACATGCCTGGCCCTAAAATTTGGCAAAGTCTAGTAAGTAGCTGCAGAGGCCCTGGAAGCAGTGTGGGGGAACGCGAGCCATCTCGGGGCCCTGGGGAAGTCTGCCACCGGCTCAGTGAGTCTGACCGAGCGCGGATGCCTGTGAGGCCCAGTGCTGACGGGACGGCTCTGAGATGCGTTGCATCTTGGCTTCGCCAGTGTTTACTTTAGGTGGTGAGGGCATCGGGCCATTCTTAGGAATGCTCATTTTTAGATTGGGCTATAATACAGAGTTGCCTTTGGCTCCTTTTAGAACTTTCTGGTCTCTTTTGCAACTATGTTAGGCTGCTCTGCTTGTAGAATTCTAAAGGTTGCTTTTTATAGCTTTTCTTGTTTCCTCCCATGGTTGTCAGCTTTTATTTCTTGCTGGCAGTCTGTCTGCAGGGGGGCCAGCCATCCCCGGCCTTCTAATTGCTGTGTCCCAGGGAACCGGAACACAGACCTCGTTGGAATCGACATAAACAGAGAATCAGTAGTTCCCGAAGGAGGACAGGGCTCGGGGGCCCTTCCCTGAGGAGCTCCTGGTTCGGGAAGGACGTGAACGTCGCAATGTGTGGTCTGATGGTTCCAAGGCCTTTTTGTCTGGCTCGCCGCTGGGTTGGGGAGTGTTCCTCCAGCACCCTCTGCCTGTTTCTCTGCACACTTTGGGGGTGGGGGCACAGTGCTTTAGGAGGAGCCACTGACAAGGAGGAGTCCCGGGCGGTTTACAAGCATGGAGCGCACCTGTGTCTCCTGGGCAGCGAGGCACCTCCGTGTGGAAGAGAGCAAAAACGGGGGTTTGTGAGCCAGAATTGTGTGGGGAAAAAGTGAAGAAAAAGGGAAAGTGAGTGATCATTGAAACATGTCTGCCAGACTAGACTTTTAAAAGTTCTTAGTGAAGTCTTCCAAACATACTAAAATGTAAAAGTACATGGACTACTGCGTTCCCAGTACTCTGCTTTAAAAATATCACCTGTAGTTGTTGTTGTAGTGTCGTGACTATATTAACTATAGTTAATACTACTGTTATTAATAATGCATTATAATAATATACAACTATATTAACTGTAGTTAATCGTCTGTATTGTGTATTTGAAAGTTGCTAAGAGTATATAGATCTTAAAATTCCTCATCACAAAAGCTATGTTTTAACATAATTACAAAAAATGTCATTATGTGTGGTGATGGATGTTAATTAGACTTACCGAGGTGATCTGTTTGCAATATATACAAATATCAAATCATTATGTTGTACACCTGAAACTTATATAATGTTATTTGTCAATTATATCTCAATTTAAAAAATCATATTACCATGTTGTTTTTTTTGCCTCAGAGTTTAAATATCATTAAAAGTCTGCAGCACTCCTCTCTCAGATCCTCTCCTTCCTTCCCTCCAGAGGCAGCCGCTGTCCTGAACTTAGCCTTGTTTCTACCAATGCAGCTTTTATTCTTTTAGTCCATATTTTTGTGCCCATCAGTATTAAGCAGCATTATTTTGCATGAGCAACTTCATGCAAGTGGTACAACACTGTACATGTTCTTCCATTACTTGTTCTTCTTCATCACTATTTTATTTGTGAAATTTATTCATCTTGTCTCTGTTTTCACTGCTATTAAGCAGGGTTTGGCAGACGATGGCTCCTGGACCAGATTTGGCCCACTACCTGTTCTGTAAATAAAGTTTTATTGGAACCCAGTTGTGCCCTTTGTTTAGGAATTGTCTATAGCTGCTTTGCACCGCAATGGAAAAGTTGAATAGTTAAGACAGAAACAAAGACTGAATGGCTAGCAAAGCCTAAAATATTGACTGTGGGGCCCTTTACGGAAAAAGCAAGCCAAGCCCTGCTGTAGCATTTGGAGGTAACAGTACAGACCATTGTATCTGTTCTTCTGCGGGTGAGCCTTTGGGCTATTTCTCATTTTTTAAAATTTTGTAAACAGTGCTTCAGTAACACATTTTTGTTGGTTCAAGATCCTCCCTCGAGTGTGTAGCTGGACGAGAAATTACTGGGCTGTGGGGCATGTGCACCTGAATTTACCAGATATTACGAGAAGGGTCTCGCAGGTGGACCTACCAATTTGCACTCCCGCTGGGAGTCTGCGCGGCTCCCTCTCCCCTGCGACCTTGCCAGCAGCCTGGTGTTTTCAGGCCTTGAGTTGGGCACATTGATTCAAGTAGCGCTTCATTGCCGGTCAGCGTTTTCCCAGGTGGTTATAGACCATTTGCCATTGTGGGAACCGCCTGTTGATAATATCCTTTGTCCATTTTCCTACTGAGTTGTCTGTCTCCTTCTGAGTGGTGAGAGTTCTTTATGTATTCTGGCTACTAATCCTCTGTGTTCTGTGCATTAAAACCCGTCAGTGACTTGGTTTCAGTCAGTCTGGATTCTTTACCAGAGCTGTTTTAAGAGCTGGTCAACCTTAGTTCATCTTGAAGATATGAAAGATCTGTACATATACATGTGTATCTATGTACACATATGTATGTAGTGTGCACATGTGCACACACATAAATGACTTCTTCTTGCAAAGGGTTGTACCATCTACCTTTGTGAGGGTCTAAGGGGAAGAAAAGTAAGTAGTTCCAACAGTGTCAGCAAGGTTGATTCCAAACAGCCTTCTCACTGGGATATTCCCAGAAGCTTGCAACCACCCAGTCTCGGAACAACTAGAGTGTCTTCCTGAGGCTGTTCGTTTGAGCGAGCTGATCGTTGCTGATGCTTCGACTGTGTAGACGTGACCTGCAAGGTCCCAGGGAAGCAGATGACCACCGTGGTGGGAGACGAAGGGCTTGGAGGGCTGCCTTGGACAGAACCCAAAGGTCCTTTGAGGTTTTGGGTTTCCCCATTTGGGTTTTGGCCGAAGTCAGACTTTGGTTTCAGCTTGATCAAGTTGAACCATTCTCTGGCCCACAGCGATTTAAATAATTAAAACTCCCATTTCCAGGCCAGACTACTTTTGTTTGCTTTTGCACTGGTCCGTCTTTTTCAAAACCGAGAGCTCTGGCTTCCCTTTTCCCTCCACCTCCGCTGACCTTTCAATTTAAGCTTTCTGCGTTGATAGCTAAAAAATAACTCTGCAATCCTTCGGGCTTACGGAGCCCTGTGAAATTCACAGTCTTCGCAGCCGTGGTCTCTGTGTACCTTAACTGTAGCTCAGTGGAGCGCGGGAAGACAGATGACAGCTGCCATCTTGCAGCTGAGGACCCCCGAGAGACACCGGAGCTGGCTTGCCCCTGGCCCCACAGCCATCTTCTGTGCTGGCCTGGCCTCCCGCTCTGCTGATCTTCCCACAGCGTGTAATTCAAGGTGCAGGCTCAGCTCATCACCCCAGACCCAGAATGACCCCTCCTCATCACCATCACTCCTTCAGAGAGGGCCACCTGCGGGAGACCGAGACAGACATCTAGGGGAGCGTTCCCTGAGCCTGTGCCAGGTGTCGGGCTTTGCTCTGTACGTTTTCTCACGTGTCGTCTTGGGTGATGCTGGAAGAGGTGCTGTAAGTTTCCTGGGCCCGAGACCGGCCCCCTGGTCCAGGGCCCGGGTCTGCCTTAGAAGTACACCACCCGTGCTTTCACACCCTACACTTGCCTTCTTGAAGTTTTAAATAATTTCTGAACAGTTGGCTCCACATTTTCCAGTTTTCACTGGGCCCTGAAAATTAGGTAGCCGGTCCTGTCCACAGATCAAGGAATCAAGGTTCAAGAGGTGATGTAATTTGCCCGAGAATACACAGCTAATAACTGGCAGAGCTGGGATTGCAGGATTTTCTACTTTGCTATTTCATTTATTAAAAATAGAGCCCTGAAGAGCCTTGTTTGAATTGCACCACAAGGAACAGGGAATGGGCGACGGTGCTGTAGAAATTCTGATTTTCTGTCAAGATTTGCATATATGCCGTTAAATAGTTTTGTGGTGGCCCCACACTGGCCATTTGCCGCCCTTGTCTTTGAGGGAGGGACCCTGTCTGTCATTTCTTTGCGGTCCTGACAGTGCCTGGAGCAGGGAGCCAAGCAGGAAGCCAGGCGGGCTGACCCAGTGAGTGAATGGGCTTCTTGATTGCGAAAAAGAGAGAGAGACCACTGAGTTTAGTGAGCATGGAGGTGCATGAGGATCGAGATGCAGGTCCATAGTTGGGGGACCAGAAGGACCCAGCATAACTCTTGGACCGGGTCATGCCGTCACTCCCTTGGTGGCAGAGTTCCTTCACCCCCGGCCCGGCTACTTCTGGCTTTGCTCTCCTCTGTGTGTCTCTTAAGCAGCCCACTCGCCCAGGACATTCGGGTCCAGCCGCTCAGGGGCTGCTGGCCTGCCTAGAGGTTGACCACGTGGGTGAGGCAGTGCCCGCTGGCCGTGTTGGGACGGTTATGCGGACCAGCATGGTGACCTGGGCGAAGGAGCTCTCAGAGGGGCAGAGTGAGTCCTGCGCGGTCCAGGCCATCGTCTGCCCGGGCTCCCAGCACAGGCTCTGATGGAGTCAGCCGTCCTCCAAGGTGGGCCCACTGCGTCCCGAGCAGGACGCACTCCTGGCTCGAGAAGGTTCCGGGGTTTCCACGGCGACGCGCTGGCCCCCCTGGTGACCTGCTCTCTCTTCCCTTCACAGCAGCAAACCCGCTGCTCTGCTCCACCGCCCGCTACCACTGCAAGAACGGCCTCTGCATCGACAAGAGCTTCATCTGCGACGGGCAGAACAACTGCCAGGACAACAGCGACGAGGAGAGCTGCGAGAGCTCCCAAGGTAGGAGACGCGCCCGAGGGAATCTCAGCGCCCACGGAACACTGGCGGGGGGGGGGGCACCCACACCCCCTCCTGATACACTGAGTGTCTGCGCTCGCCTGCAGCCCTCGAACACGTGGGGCGCGCCCTCCGTCTGTCTGTCTCCTGTATTAAATGTCACCTCCGCATTTTCCCCTGACGCTGGAGCGCACCCGCTGCGCGGCGTCCTGTCCCGGCGCCCTGCGGCCGCGCTCTGAGTCATTGCGTTGTTGGGCCATCGAGGTTGTTTCTTTGCATCGGATCCCTAGTTCGGGGTGAGCCCCGCCGGTGGGGCGTGTGTGGTTCACGGCCCCGCCTGCCATGCAGCTGTGTGCAAGGACGTTTTTGCTTCGCGGGGCTGCTGGCATGGTCTGCAATGACAGTGTCACTGCGGTGCCCCAGGCTCCTCTGTTTCCCCATTATTTGCTAATTTAGCAGCCGTAGAACTATAGCTCCCCAAATGCTTTAACTTGCGTTTCTCTGATGATGAGCAAAGTTAACATTGTCCTCACGTGTTTACTACGTTGTTTCCTCCTGTGAATTCCCTGCTCCCGTCAGGCTCTGGGCCTCAGAGCTGTTTCCTGGAAGCAGATGGCTGGGGTTTGGGGATGGAAAGATGCTTTGTGGGGAACCCGGAGGATGATCATGTCCTCTCCTGTTAAAGCCCACTGGGTGCATTTCTTTACCCATTGATCGTTTTCCTGAAACATGTATTTTCTATAGTGATGAGGAAAAAAATGCAAAGATTTAAGAATGTACCTCCATTTTAAGCCATCTTAAAAAGTATATATTTCTGGTATAAACTGATACCATCTGTATGCAATCTTTATTTGTTTTACTTAATATTATATTGCTGCGATTCACCCATGGGATTGTTTGTTAGTAGAGCTGATTTTCTTGACTGTTACTCAGCATTCCACGGTATAAACGCACCCCAGTTGTAGATTTAATGAAACTGTAAAAAGCAAGGGAAAGCTGGTTGTTAACTGCGTAACTCAAGTCAGGAGGTAGGTGGATGGGATCTCCTCCATGAAGTTAGATGCAGGTTCTTTTCCAGGCCCTGGCTTTTATTGTGGTTGGTGCTTATTATGTTATCAAAAAGGAATAAACGGGTCGTTCCTAGACCACTGGTGAGTGAGTCCCAAACCAAGGATGACACTTGACCCAAACCCGTGCACCGAGGTCCAGAGATGAGGGAAGGCAAAACATGTGCTGGCACAGACTTGGCCTGGTGTGTGCAGAGAGCAGCTCCAGGAGCCGGGGCCTGTCCTTGGGCCCCCCCGGCCGCACCGCAGACCAGCGGGATCAACTGAATCATGGTGTTTCCAAAACCTTCCCGGTGATTAAAATACACGTTAAAGTCTGACGCCACTGTTCTACACCGACTTCAGAGGGGTTTCTATGGAGCGGCCGGGTATTCGAGCCTTTACACAAAGTCACATTTTCATAACCAGAAGCGGTGCCCGTATACCTCCCTTGGCCTGTGCCCTTGGCAGTGGTAGATACCAAAGGGGGGCAGCAGTCGCCAAGTCGGGTAAATGTTCGCATAGACAGGGGAGCTGAGGAAACTTCCTGTACTGTTTCTTATGTGTTTTCTAGGCTCACTGATGGAGCCCTGAGGTGTTCAGCGAAAGGACTCCCAAGTCGAACCCTTGGAAGTTAGGGAATTTGTCCTGAGGGTTTTAGCAGAACCTCTCTGCACCCTCCGCCCCCGGATGCCTGTCCTGGCATTTCGCTGAAGCAGATTTCGGCTTACCCTGAAGAAGAACTGTCTCTCTGCACTGCAGCTGGTTAGTTAGTCTTTCTAAACCAGCTCCTTCTCCCTGTCTGTACTCTGCTTCCACAGGAACTCGAGGTGTAGGGAATGCCCCCGAGGATACAGGGGATACGGCTTCGGCAGACACCCCACTTGGGGCAGCCTTCCTTAGCCTCTCGGCTTTGTGCCTCCCAGACCAGACGGCACCCCCTGGACAGTAAGCTGTGTTTCACATGCTCTCAGAAAACAGGCCCATCGGGGTGAGGGCCACAGGTCAGCTCCCGTCAGTGACAGAATTCGAGCAAGGGTGCCACGGTGGGAGGCACTGCTGCTAGCGACCTCAGGTGGAATGTGCCTTTCTTGCCTCTCGGTTCCCGCAGGTCCTGCTTAGGGGCCGAGTGCCCTGCGCACAGTGGGTTAATAAGGCCGAGGGGCTGGAAGAGATATCTTTGTCAGGCGTTATGTTATGAAGCTGTGCTTAATTCGCATGCTGTGTAGTGTTATGTTGTATGTGTTTTTAAGTTATGTAAGTTTTAAAAGCTGCGGTCTATTGCAGCAATCCTAAGGATCGTGATTGTTGTTTCAATAGAGTAGGTGATGCTGTCCTTCCCTCGGGAGCGTGCCTCGTGGGGAGCGTGAGATGGGAATCCGGACCTGCCGTCCCCTGGGCCGGTCTGCGGTTCCGCGTCCCTCTCTGTGGCGTCCCCCTGCTCCAAGTGTGGGTCTCGCTGTGAAGGCTGTGCTTTCCTCCTGTTTGGTAGCCTCTGAATGCAAACGGACTGCTAATTGGGGGCTTAAACAAAGGAACACCAGTGCCAGGGCTGGGGAGTCCTGACCCATGGGCTCTGGAGAGAATGGGCTCCGTGTCCTCCCGAGGAGTCTCAGAGGCGTCTGGATTAGACAGAGTGTTGTCTTGTGCCCCAGAGGATTTGACCCCTGTCACCTGAAGCCGTGAACATTGGTGGCGCCTCACCAGGCACTGGCCGCTGTGCCAATGAGCACCTCCTGCGCGTGAGCTCATTCAGGGGGAGTTGCCCTGTCTGCTTCTGCTGGGCCCCCGCCCTTCACAACTGCAGCCTCGCTTTCCACTGCTGTGCGAAAGAAAATTATATTTTACAATTTTCACTTGGATGGAGTGGGAAAAGCTGGCCCCCAGACAGGAAATACAGTTCTTCTTCTTCTTCTTTTTTTTTAATATGCTTTTATTGATTTTTTTTTTTTTTTTTTTTTAGAGAGGAAGGGAGGGAGAGAGAGAGAGAGAGAGAGAGAGAGAGAGAGAGAAACATCGGTGGGCTGCCTCCTGCACGCCCCCTACTGGGGATCGAGCCCGCAACCCAGGTGTGTGCCCTGACCAGGCAGTGAACCAGGACCTCTCAGTCCACGGGACAACGCTCAGTCCACTGAGCCACACCGGCCGGACAAAAATATAGTTCTTGAAGTACTTTTCTTCTAGTTCGATGAGGGTGTGGAGAAGGGTGTCTCCACACTAGAGACCCCAGCTTTGTGCGCCTCTCCTCCCTTTCTCTGCTCATCCAGTTCAGTTCCCTGCCTCGTCCTTGGCCTTGAAGCCAAGGAGCCCTGTGGGGAATTGGAGGTGGGGCGGGGCCCTGAACGTGCAGTCATTACCGTGCCTTTCTGTTCCATGTGGGATGTGTTAGAGGCCGAAGAACACTGCGGTTCAATCGGATTGTAATTGGGGCTTCATTGATTGGAAACATAACCTGCTCATCGGATGATTCCCAAAGTGGCTTTGAAGCAGGCTTGCTGTGGACCTCCTGTTGCTTAGGAACCGTCCCTGGGGGCAGGGGCACATCCGAGGTCCGCAGGGGCTGCCGTGCCCGTGTTGGGTGTGGCCCCCACGGAGGTGGCCTTAAATATGTTGACCTCAACCCCAGTGAACTTTGGATAAATGCCTGAGCGTGGCAGGCAGCCTTTAGTGATCCCACCTCCCGGGGTTCACACCTGGTATGAGCCTAATCCTTTGAATGTGATCTAGACTTTGTGACTAGTTGTTTGTTTTTTTAATTGTGGCACACCTAACATAAAATTTACCATCTTAACCATTTTGGGGTGTACAGTTCAGTAGTTTGAAGTATATTCACACTGTTGGTATACCAGTCTCCAGATCTGTTTCATCTTGCAAAACTGAAACTCTCTATCCATTAAGAAATGCCCCGTTCCTCCCCCAGCCCCTGGCAACCACCGTGCTACTTTCTGTCTCTGTGAATCTGACTGCTCTAGATAGATCATATAAGTGCAATCACAGTATTTATCTTCTGCTGACTGGCTTACTTTTTACTTAGCATAATGCCTTCAAGGTTTATTTACGTTGTAGCATGTGTCAGAATTTCCTTTCTTTTTAATTAAGGCTGAAGAATATTCTGTTGTATGTCTGTACTGCGTTTTGCTTATCCGTTCATCTGTGGATGGACACGTTAGTGGCTTCTACCTTTTGGCTGCTGTGAACATAGACGTTCAGACTGTGACTTGGTTTTCACAAAGAGACAGTGTCACAAGTGATGGGGTCTTGGTTCCGAGATAAAAGATTCTGGTGTCTGTTTTGCTATCTCTCTCTCTCTCTCTCTCTGTCTCCCCCCCTCCCTCTTTCTCTCCCCCTCCCCCTCTTTCTCGCTCGCTCGCTCGCTCGCACCATGTATTAAGCTGCCCCATGGACAGACCGTGAGGCAGGGCCCTGGGGAGGGATCTGACCAACAGCCAGCAAAGAGCTGAGGCCGGCCAGGCCCACGTGGGTGAGCTTGGGAGTGGGTCCTCCACGGGGGCAGCCTCCAGCCACGGAGGCCCCGCCGGGCCCCTTGATCACAGCCTGTAAGAGGCCTTGAGCCAGAGCCAAGCCGCTCCTGGATTTCTGACCCATAGAACCTGGGAAATAAAAAAAAAATTTAAGTCTCTGAGTTTGGGGTAATTTGTCATCATCGGTTGTAGGTAACCAATGTTCTGACGACCTCTCCTGGCCCCGGTTCCGAGTGCTCGAGTCTAGCGCGCGTGAAGACTCGTGTGGGGTCACCTTCTGGGGGGAGATCGGCAGGGTGTTTGTACGGGCTGCCACGACTTAAAGCACAGCCAAGTGTCAGGCACCATTCCAAGCTTTTCACTCGTATTATGCCTTTCAGTTTCACAAACTGTCACAGAAGAGGAGCCTTGTTTTCTAGGTGAAGAGCCCGAGGACCAGAACAGCTGTTTGTGGTTGTGCCATGTCCACACCGCA